CACCTGTCCTCAGACCTTGTATTTGTGGTGAGGGTTAGGATCTTCCTTTAGAGCCAATGACATGTTACAGGCTTCTGAAACACGCATTGCATTCAGAAGCCACTGTAGTGGAAGTAATTTTTCATAGCGTATCAGCCTTTGAGAAGGAATGCCAACAACCGTGCCATTTGTCCAACCACCTGTGGCTCATGCTCTTAACACTAGTGAGTCACTGAAATTCTTCAATGTAATGAAATGTGAGGGTATTTTTCAGTTCTTTTTTTCTCTTCCTAAGGCAGAAAGTGCCCTAGGAGGTGGGTATGCAAAGAACACTCACTGTGTTCAATCCTTTAACATTTATGGTGCTTTACTTTATTATGGGATATCTGTACTGGAGAAAATGAGCAAGCGTTGCCTTAGCTGAATGCTGAGCCTGTTTAGTGAAGCTGCTGCAATTTCAAGCGCAAACACATTCAGTCTCTTTAAATCTGGTTTACATAACCTGTAAGTGACGATATAATGTATAGTTAGACAAACCAGGGGGACGCAGATCCTATCCAGATACACACAGTGGGCATTAACATTGCTCTCATCAGCTTCCTGCTTGAATCTACCCCCTGGTTACTTTTTGCCTGATAATTGGAAAAGCAGGGCAAGTACACATCCCTAAGTAGTGTTGGAGGAAGCACCTTGTAAACAGCAAGCTACAAGACAGGGTATTCTCATTCCTTTCCCAATTCATTAAGCAATGCTGTGATTTCTGTTGTGCCTGTTTTCCTGCTCTCATGTGTCAGTGGGGTTTTCCTTTAATTCAGGTTAAGACAAGAATAAGGGAACACTGAGGAGCTAATTAAAAAAAAAAAAAAAAAAAAAAAAAAAGAGATTGCTTTTGATCAACTGGGAAATTCACAGATACCTAGTTATGAGTGTCACATCTACTTGAGTTGCCCAGGTAATGAGTGGTCTGGTCTGTTACAGAATCTGTTAAGGCAGCTATATATTTCATGTGCTTATAGGAACATTATCATAGGTGAAAGTGTTTGATCTGTCCATTCTGACATCCTGCTTTTTGACCTGATAGGTAACCAAAAGGTCATCAGTACGGTTTCCCATCTCTTCTCCAACCATGCTAACACACACAAGCTACTTTGCTATAGAAGCCCATTTCATGCCTTGGAGAGACCTTTGATTCATGAGTTGCAAAGCCCAGTTTTACTACCATCTCTGCCACTGACTCACACGCTGGCTGTTAGTACCGTTATTACAGTCAGATTATTTAAAGCTCCTGGCTCACTAATTTAAGGTTTGCCTGTCCCTAAGATACTCGCAAAGTTTTGGAGAGACATTCATTACTTTTGGTGACAACCAAATCTATTCAAATTAACTTCCTGAATCATCTTTTTAATGGGATCTTTTAATGCAGGTAAATGCAAATTCTGTTAACAGTCAGAAGTGTTAGCGATGAATTCCCCTTCTTGTCAGGCTCAACAAGTGTCAGTCTGGAGCTGAAGACCTCTCCCCCAGCTGAACTCTGTTCATGTGCTGTGCTGTCTGCAGACTCCTTTGCGAGAGAGGAGGATGGAGGCCCAGTGCATGCCTAAAGGCTGGAAGGAGGCTTTCTTCCTTTGAAAACAGTTGGTCAATCTGCTAACGCTGCATGGGGGATGACTGCTTGCTCAGGCAAAAAGCTAAAAACACCGAGACAGAACTAGAGGATCCCAGGAAATAAAAGGTAGTAGACAAGGGTATGTACAGGTGAGTTTCTAGGGAGCTGAGCACTGAAGGAGTGGAGACTAACTTGCAGTTTTAGGTGATTTGAAGAACCATTTAGTTCACAAAGATGACTGGATGGAAAAGATGTAGGTGGCCCATTTGCATTGCATGGTAGGTGCTGTTCATGTAAGAAATGTCACTTAGGAGAACCCCTGGAACAGTCTGTACAGCCTGTATCCTGGTTGTGTGTTTGGGCTGGAAATGAAGGGCGTTCTCTGACGGTCACAGCTAATGGTCTGGAGCACCTTTCCAAATGACGAAATGAAACAGAAAGCATGTCACTGTTTCAGACTGAAAATTAATCATTTTAGAAACAGGATTTTATGAAGTGACTTCCTGCAGCAACCAGGGACAAATCTGAGGTGCAGACTGTCCCTTTAACCTGATATTCTTAATATTTGTTCACCATCAGATTAAAGCATTACTTTTCCAAGGACCCTTACATTGAACTTCTCGTATGTTTGCTTTTGAGCATCTGTGTTTGGATAATTTAATCTTTGTTTTCATCTCTGTCGCTGGACTTCTTCAAGGAAACCAAAATATTTTGTAGTAAGAAAAACAGCACTATTAGGCACAGGCTGAAGACATAGTGGAAATAACCCCACGCAGTGTAATCCATTTTTAATGGTCACATCGTTCAACTATGACTAATTCGAGAAGACAGTGGAAATAAAATGTTTGGCCTCATAAACACCAAAATGTGTTATAAAAGTATGCATAGAGAAAACGAGTAAATTGGAGTGAAACTAATGATATTGAAAATCTCAGCAATGAATCACCATGCACTAGCTGAAATGATCTCAGTCTACTTCATGGACCTGAAATAACTTATATGTTGCTTCGGGTTATACTATTAATATAGTACAGTTGTGATTCTGGATTACTATATTTACCAAGAGGTAGACTACTTTTATGTTGCTGTGTGTGTGTTGTCGTTTTTGTTGGTTTGTTTCTTGTGTTTTAAGTTCAATTACTTGGTAAAATAGAAGTTAACACAGTAATTCATGTCTGGCTTTTAAAACAGAGCAACTATTCATAAGCTTTCTTTTTTATTCAGCTTACATAGGGTGTAGGCAGAGCACGAAACTGTCCTACCATTGTACCTCTACCTTGCTTTCTTTCACTGCTTTCATCTTTTCCTATACAGTCCTTAGTGTGCCCTGTGACAACCAGTGAGGTTGTTTGCCAGTTGCATTAGCAATTTTCTAGTACCTCTTAACTACTGAATAGCTGTAGGGAGTAGGAACACTGCTAATAGATCAAAGACCTGTTGTGCTATTTACTGTACAAATATAAGACAAAAGGAGGACCTGCCCTCCCTCAGAAAGTACAAGTTAAGTGAAGTAACATTTCCAAGCGTCTACATCTGAATTATTAGATGTTGTTAGATTATTTTGGGTCTTACCTCCATGCAGGATAATGACAAGTGTCTCGTTACTGAGACACTTTCCTTCTTTAGTATACAATGCATTGCCACAACAGGGAGTTAACACTTTGCTCTCTCCTGTGTGTGTAACTGTGGTTGGATGACAGCAGGTGAATGTTGGTTGGTGTTACTTAGCATCGCTCCGTCCATAATGTAAAGACAGGCCAGTATTCAAAGGTAAGGATGTGGCCCAAAAGCCAAGGTGTGTGTATATTACGCTGAGCTGTCACAGTGTAATGGGTAAGGCCAATTTGTTTCAGACTCAGTGGGTTGGGAGTTGTAGTCGCTTCATCTCTGTGGACCTTGCAGCCCTCCAGCTTAGCTCTGTGGTGGTGTCGCATACCTGTGCTGAATGCACTCAGCACTCTCCATTTTAGATTACAGGAACTTTCTGTGTGTATTTGCCAGACATGGACAGTTCACCTGTGAGGATCAGGTAGGCAGCTGTCTTGTAGGGGTAGAGTTTCTGGGAGACCCATCCATCTAAGCACAAATGTGTGCATAGATTCACAATATAGCTTTAAGCTGAGCCATCACTGGCATAAAGTATGAAGTGACCTCTGCTCACCCAGTGTAGTCAGCCATATGTGTTTGTCCAAGATAAACAGTTTGGGATCCTTTTTCTTGCATCTCAGATCCAGTCACCATGAGGCAGGAGGGGCTGTGCCCGCACCGGCAGGCACAGTGACCGTCACCAGCATCATCCTCACGTCCTGCTGGCCTGGTGCCCTGCAGTGGCCAGGCATGGCTAAGGTCAGGCCAGGAGGATGGTGAGGCTGATGCGAGACCAGGCACACCTCAGCGTAGCTTGGGCAAGGACCAAGGCTGGGGGCTCCAGCTGCAGTACTTCCCGAGCAAAAGCAGGGCAGGCCCCGGTTCCTCAGCTCTTTCTCGCAGCAGTCTGAGCCAGGTTACTGCTGAGTCTGGGCCTCATGCACAGGCAGCCAAACCCCGGAGCAGGGGAGGTGCGCTCAGGGCCTGGGCAGGTAGAATTTGCCAACAGTCCCTTCTTGTTCACGGGCACCTGGGACTGGGCGGTGAAGTTGGCTGGCATGGACTTGCCTCTGATTGCTCAGACCTGCCTGTAATTGTTTATGCAAAGAAATCCTAAATGCCTGTTTATTAACAGATAATGCCCGTGTTAGTAAGACTGTGGCTTTGGCTGTAATTTCTGCAAGGTAGGTATGTGCAATTGGCTGTATTTTTTTCATATAGCCTGTCATTAAAACAGCTTGAAAGCCAATATCTTTAGAAATGGTGAAATTAATGATTTACCTATTCCTGTTGTGTGACGATGATAGCAATTAATCATATCTAGTATTTGTGTTGTATTGTTCAGCCAAATTACAGAGAAAGATATAACTATTTTCATAATCTAGAGGAGGAAAATAGGTCTCAGAGAGGTCAAAGGAGAGGTGAGCCAGAATGTGTGAGATCAGCCATCCAAGAAGAAATATTTGGCACATAACAGCAGACTATTTTTATTTTAATATTTTTCCCCAGAGATGCTGAACACCCAGAGCTTGCTTTGAAATTACTTAAGCATTTCTGAAGATCTTGTATTTCTAAGTAGGTATGTAACTCCAGGTGCTCCAGCTTGAGCTGAGCAACTTGCATACAAGGTGTCACTCCTAGCTGTCATGGAGGAATAGAAACTGGGAGCCACGATCAAAAATCCCATTTACATCCTGTTTTATCGTAAAGCGGCTGGTTATCTGGGAATGACAGGATGATAGCAGTAGCTTTGCTCCAGCTACTCTTTTTGAATCTGCCAGGTTGCACTAGTTTCCTTTGATTATGTCTTGTCTGACTTTATTGCTAGGTTTGCTCACAGCTGAAGAAAACAAAACAAAACAAAAAACTGGCTGTGGGGTCTGCAGAGTACAGCTTTCCTGAAGCAAATCTTCCTGACCATCTGACAAGACACTTGTTTGGCTCAGCTCATGCTAGTGAGAAAAGCACTCTTATGTTTGGGGATGAAACTCTACACAAGTCCCCGGAAGAAGCCTACGCTCTTGGATTACCAGGGGCTGGATGAAGAGAATTGCACCATTTCCCATCACTCAAGACCACCCAGCTGTCATCAGCACCCACACTGCACATCCGACCCACTTCTAGGTGAGTCAAAATCCCAGAATACTGATTGTCCAGCAGAAGTAATTATTGCTTCATTCATCACCAGCCGGAAACAGGGTCTAAAACCTTTTGGGAACAGCCTCCAGATGGACATCAGTCTGGAACTGGAGTGTTCCCAAAGATCTGAGGAGCCCTTCAAAGCCCTCAACCAAGGTGCATTTCTGGCTCCCTATTTCTCCTATAAGTAGCAAACTGCTAATTCCTAAGACAGCTCCTACTTGAACCAAATAACTTTTGCTAAATCTGATGTTCAGCATTGCTTTTACTCAAAATAGGGGGTTAATGCAGCATCTCTGTAGCTCTGTGGTTAACACTTGCTGCTTTTACTGTAGAATCCTGCAAGAAAGGACACAGGCCTCTGTTGATACAGCTCCAAATAAACTGTTAACCAGGTTCACTTCTTTGGCCAGGTAGGGCATGCCTAAGATCCTTCCTTTCCTTCCCAGCTCCCCAGGGTACTGGCAAGGTTTCGTAGAGAAGCCTGAATGGCACAGTGTGAACTAGATCTGCTTCAAAACAGAGCTTATTAGTGCAGCTCACCCATCTTTTCCAAATATCACAGTTGTCTTCACATTTTGAAAAGCAATTAAAATCAACAGCACTGTAACATCTCACAGCTGTAGTAAACATTTCCTTTGGCCGTGGCAAACTGCCCTGGGGACTTTAAACCACAAACAGCAATGCAATTCTGCTTGCAGTGGGGATGCGCATTAAAGTTTGACACAAAAACTAGTTCGTGTCCCCTGTCCCCCCCCCATTTTTTTTTCTTGTTTTTTCTTTGCAAATCACCTGGGGAGCCACAACCTCCAGTGTGCTGAAGTTAGAAAAAGAAAGACACCTGAGCAAACCAGAGCTTGGTATTCTGGAATTTATGAAAAGCATAAAGTTTGGTAGAAGCAAGTATTAATCATGGATTGCTGAGAGTGATGCACACCCTACATAATATTCATTTCTCACTGGCTACAGGTTTGTCTGGTTAATCCCACACACTGATATTCATTGCCTAAATGAATACACCCACAGCAAGAACAGAGCAATTTTGCGGGGGATGTTAGTTGGCATAACTTCACTGACTGTTAACAAGTCTTCATTCTTTATGGACCAGTTGCCAGTCATGGCTCTGTCCATGATTTATAGGGCTTAGAAGTGCCATCATCATCCTGCAAATGAAGAGATAGAAGCAAGAAGTGTAGAGCTTGTCTGAGGGTACTGCAAAACCAGCAACTAAACATCTGACAGTTGCAGACCTCTATTTACAAATGTAAATTGCCTGGTGGTGTCGGTCTTGTTGTGTTGAAGCAACTCTTGCAAAGTGCCCTAGCTCACAAATAGATGCCTTATCTGAAAAGGACTTTTCAAGAACAGTAAGCTCTCACAGGCTGTTGTGTTTGAACTGGACATTGTCACAGAAACGTGCCGTTCCTCATGTTGCATTATACTTGTTAAACAATTCTTCCTTCTCACTCGGATCTGCAGTTAAGTGCCTTGCAGAAGGTTCCCAGCTCTGACTGGGTTTGTTGCCTGCAGAGGCACAGCAGGAATTAGCCTGTGCAGAGCACCATGTGGCAGGGGAAGGCACGCAGCTCGCCCGGCTGTCACCTCACGCACTGGGGGCAGCCCTGGGGCAGGGGTCCCTCACCTCTGCGCCGGGGCGGATTTCAGACATGGGAACCGTGAGCTGCTCTTAGGGCTACCCCGAGTAGCAGAAAACGCAAAACCACTGTAATGTGCGTAAATCCAGCGGTCGTATGTGGAATGGAAGCCAGTGTAAGCTTTCGAACGAGTAGAAACAGCTTGTGTCTGAAAGCTAGAGCGCTTTGAGCAGCACTCCCCTGGGAGGCTCGGAGCAGCTCCCCTGCAGGGGCTCGGCCGCCCCCCCCTTTCCCGCCTCTTCCCGCCCGAGCCGCCCGGCCCGGCCCGGGGGCTCCTCCTGGCGGCCGCCCGCTGCCGCTTCTCGGCAGAGCCCGGAGCCACAGGGCCGCTAAGGTAAGAAAAGCCCTGCAGGAGCATCTGGCCCAGCCACCCCCCTGCTGCCACTGCCACCCACCACACCACGTCCCCAGGAACCTTTCCTTGACCCCCCCCAGGACGGTGACGCCACCACCTCCCTGGGCAACCCCGCGCCTGGCCGCTCTTTCTGAGGAGAAAAATCTCCCAAATTATAACCTAAACCTCCCCTGGTGTAATCTGAGGCCATCGCCTCTAGTCCTACCGCTAGTTATCTGCGAGAAGAGCCCAGCTCCCAACACTTTCCTCTCAGGTAATAGAGAGCCCCCCGAGCCCGCAGCCCCGTGTTGGCTGCCTCACAGGCGTGGGCCTGCGCCCTGGCAGCGGGCGGCGTCCCTGCAGGGCTGAGGCGCTGAGGCACATGAGGCACAGAGGCACAGAGGCACGGCATTTCGCTGCTGGCCATTCTTGGGCTCCTCTCCTGTGTGGATTGCACCCCGCTCATGCACCTGGCCTCCTCCTGGATCACTCCTCTTCGCTTCTCTGATCACAGCGTGTGTGCTGCCACTGGACTACGCATTTCGGAAAACACTAAGGTCTGCTTACAGCAAAGTGTCTTTTGGGGCTAGTATTTAAAATATTAATTTTAAATGTTTGAGGCCTCTTGTTATTTTCTGTGCAAGCATCACGTCACTTTCCAGTTGTCTTCCTTCTAGTCTGAAGAGTCCCAGTTCACTTAGCCTTCGTTCGTACCGCAGCATTACCTACCTGTGGTCATCCTTGTTGCCCTTCTTACTTGTGAATAGTCACGGTCTGCTCAGATTCCATCCTTTTGTACATGAAGGTGGGATTTTTTTCCTGATGAGCATCACTTGACATCTGCAGTAAAAGTTAGTGCAGGCAAAAGAGACCAGCAGAAAAAAGCAACCATGAGAGTGGAAGAGTGAGATGCTGCCTTTTGGGGGCAGTATGCACTCGTGTAATAAAAATACCAAGCTTTATTTCTCAAGCACAGACTGTGGGTTTGTTTCAAGAATCCTTATACAGGAACTACCTCCCTGTCAGATGTGATCTGGTTCCTTACACCTCCTGTACTCATTAACAGTGGGGCCATTACTTCAGGCAATTAAGTAAATGTTTCTCTCACCACCTCCAGTTCCTAGAGTTGTCTCTCTTTTACTGTAGATTTCTTGTGAGTTGTCTTTTTTTTGTCTCAATATATAAGCATGCTTACTTCTCCCTTATTACTCCTGCTAGTGGATAACTATTTGAAGAGACCCTATAGAGATGCTCTTAGTGGAGGTTAGGCTTTCAGCACAAGTTGTCTAGGCAAACTATTAAAAACAGTGGTTAGAGGTTCTCTTGCCTGTAGTGTGACACATGACAGAAGCAAGTGGCACCTTTAGCCTGGAAAACCTTAATTTAGCTCCTGGGAGCTAAAATATATGCTTTCTGGTCTTTGATTTCTGCCCTGTTACAGTGTACATACAAACAGAGAATTGAATCATTATTTTCTGAAAAACACAAGCAATTAATAATTGAGATAAGCTGGTTAGTTGTTGTAGTAGATACTGATGCTTAGACTTTTTTTGCAGTAGGAGGTTTCTGAGATGCACAGAAAGAGTGATTACCTCATAGCTGGCCCATCCTGATGTTAGACCTGCATTAATTTTCAAGAAAAATGCCTTAAATGAATTCTGATAGGATCATGGGATGTACTTCAACATTTTTCTGTTGTTTCCCGCCATCCTTTTTATATGTAGTATTAAAAGACTGTTTTAAATAGATGATTAGAAATGAATGTTAATATATGCATTTAGCTATCTTGTGTAAATCTGTTGTTTTCCTCAAACATTTCATTGCCAGCTGACAATTTCCCTTCAAATAATTAAAAAATACAGAGCTGCTGAGATAATTTCCTAACTGCCAGAAATCTCTTTAAGCTTAGAAAACTGAACGTAAATGATTGTTTGTGATTTCTCCATTGAGGTAAATGACACAGAAAAGGGCAAGATCAATTTCTTCTCAGTCTTTTCTCTAATAAGTTTATTTATTTATTTATTTTTAATTTGATTAGTTCTGTTTCTGTAGTGATGTCCGGACATGACTTATTATTGCAACTCTTTTTCCTCTCCTTTTATTGCCATACATCACTGGAAATTCTTGCTGGCTTTTGTAAATAAGTAGCCCATCTCTAAAGGGCTCTGTTGACCTGAGAGAAGACAAGATAGCAGGTCAGCAGAGGAAATGCTTTATGATAAGAAGGCAGGGTCACCTGCTTCAAGTTCCTATTGTAAGGCTAGATTTAAACAAGGGCATGCAAGCAAATGAGCACAAAGAGGTTTTTTACAAGTGGAGAGGACAACAAACACAGAAGTTGTAATGTCAAGAGCAGGACACACACATAGTTGAAGACGACTGAAAGGAATATAGTTCTGCAATGTGGGTAATTCATAAACCCTTAAAGTGGAAGCATTTACTTAGCTAATTAAACCCCAGAGTTAAATACTGTAAAATAACCATTGTGGATGTGGTTTGAATCCTCTGGCAGTCTAGAGATCTTGGCAGCCAGGGTCTTTACACCTGGGAATGATTTATGTGTGCAGTTATTCAGCTTTAGCCGGAGTTGCACATCAGCTAAATATTGCAGTGAGTGTTTGCCGTAGGCGTTCACTTTCAAGCTCTGCAGCGGTTCTGCAGCAAGATTTGCTGCTGCCGCTAGATGGCTCTCGGCAACGCTTTCTTGAGCACTGCTGAGCATCTCAGATGGTCAGCCGGTGATCCGAACTGTGCCAGGGCGATACGCAATTTAGCCACAGCAATCCTCGTTTGCACTATTTTTTTGTTGATTTTTTCTTCCTTGACATAAGGAACAGAAGGACCATCTTTCATAATTTTGCAAACTATGATCTTCCAATGATGATCTGTTTTAGTGCTGTCTGTAGGACTTGAGAGCATGCAATGCTGATGCTTGTTTTATAAATGCTAAGGTTCATTGGCAGTGAATTGCAGCTTCTCCTACTGGCCTCTTTTTTTTGAGTCAGTAGTAGCAGGACAGTTCCTGTAGGCACTGACTATTTCACTTCCCCCACTTTCCACTTAGATGTTACCAGTCTGTTTTAACTGCAGATAGCTTGTATATTTTTAGTGCTACCTGTTAAATCCTTCCCAAACAGCACGTGCTTCCAAGCCATGCTGAAAGGTGCAGGCAGGTCCTGACGGTTGCCTGTCCTCTGCTCCTCAGCTCCAGAATCAGCTTGTGTGGGCAGGGTGGGACACAAGTCCAGTGCGGGGTTGGGGGGGCATTGCTGCCAGTCAGCCTGTGCTGGCACCTTGGAGAAGTTATACTGGAAACGTGAATTCTGCATGTTGCTGTCGCTGGGCCTTGTGCTTGTACTGGCATAGCCATAAGGCCCCAGCACCCGGTGCTGTGCGCTGGGTATAAACGGTATGCTGAGATGGTGGGGTGGTAGATGCCTGGCAACCAGCAGCCATGGGGAGTAAGTGTTCTTTTCACTTCTTACCTCACTTGCTACTGTTCCGTCTATAAGCCTTGTAGCTGACAAAGTTTGGGCTGAGAGAAAGGAGTGGGAGGTGCAGAAGGCCAGACCCTCATCTCTGGCAGCCAGGTAACTTCCTGCAAGGTTTGCCTGTTAGCAGAGGGACTGAGACAAACGGGCACAGATGAGTTTACTGCATGGTTTCTATAAGAAGTCTACATCTCTAAATCAGCTATACGGGAGTCATAGCTCAAACCTGTGTCTATCACAGTGTTTCCTGTACAGAAAGGAACAGATGTTACCAGGGATTGGACAGTCACGTGTGCCCCACGGACCGGTGCTCTAGTTGGTCACCTTTTCACATGAAGATAAAATAATGCTTTGTCACTCTTTCTCTGACCCACCCACCAGTCTGTCTTTGCTGTAGGGAGCTGACTCTGCTCACTGCCATTGTCTCGGGATCCTTGCCCTTCACACATTCTGACATTTTTTGTGTTGGAATATGTACGTAAAAGTGCCTTTTGTCTGTCCCTGCACAGTTTGCAGTCACTCTTTGCTTGGGGTAACAGCTAAGGGGCTGTAGTGCATGTGTACACAAGGGCTGTGCACCATCCAGCTGCATGTACACATGCACACCTCGAGCATGAGTCACCTTGTCCACATCATCACGGCTGGAAATGCAGCTCTGCCTCCTGTGTTCACATGCACTGCTGGGATTTGCAAATATTCAGGAAACAAACAGCCACAAACCAGAATCTTATTCTGCTGCTGTGATGGGTGTTTGCTCGTACGTTTGTGATGTAACATGAGGACATTAAACACGGGAATAAACCCCTCCTCTGCAGCACACAAATTCCTTAAAGTTTTTGAGGACTTGTGAATGTGCAAATATTTGTGTTTCCACAAAGTCAGGTGTATTTGCCTTCTGCCCTTCAGAGGCAGGAAGTCTGTGTCACTGCAGCCTCACGGTGGTGGATTCTTAATGGGGATCCCAACCCAAACTGACAGATCGTGGATGTATTTTTTTAACCTGTCAAGAACCATCTTTTTTTCTTTTCCATTTTACTTTTATTAACAAGATACAAAGAGTGAAGTACACTCAGAAGCAGCAGCAATAAAATTTGCAGCCACTCCACATAAAAGTGTCGCAGGAGCATAACAAAGGCTTAGTGAGTTTTTAATTGTAAGTGGCACTCCATGCCGAAGGCATAGTTTGGGGGAGAAATCTGGCGAGAGCTGCACATTTAACTCACAGCAGTGCCCAAAATCGAGATCGGTGGGGAACTGCCCGTGTCTGTCCGTGCTGGGGGAGCACCCTGGGTTCTGCCCTGCCCTCGGCCACTGCATGCCTGTGGGGTCATGCGAGAGGCACCGTCCCTCTCTGCCTCATTTCGCCCTT